AAACGATCGTTACTGCTTTCCTTTTTTCTGCGTTCAAATACAAGTATATGAACAATTTTATTACAAAGACGGGCAATTGAATTTAACTTCATTATTCCCAGGTTACGTTACAATGATTTCAGTTGAAAAGGTCGAATATACAATTACTTATGCCTTAATTTACAAAAAAAATAAAGTTTATGTGGCAACTATTATTTCAGATCTCTCAGTTCCAACTAAAATTTTGGATTTTTGAGTTTCAATTAAGTGCTTGCTGCTTGATCTTTCGTACTTATGTCGATTTTCAATAACGGTTTATTTAAATTCAAAATTCATATTCAGAGCTGTTCAAATGAGATCTGGTACATCAAATTCAAGATTCTCCAGTTACTTTGATCTAGATTGAAGCTTCCTATCGGCCTTAGCGGCAACAGAAGTGACATTATGGAAACAAAATTCCGAATGCGTTCCATGAATAATTATTTGACAACATGTTTGAGGCGATTTGATCGTGTGGTTTTTCTATGTGATACTCTCAAGTTAGAGGTAGTGCAGAAAAATGGACACTTTTTCACATTCCTCTAGGTCTAAAAGTTGGTTAATTGGCGGTCAAATATTAGTTAGAGACTTTCTTTCAGATTTCAGTTATTTGACAGATAATTTCCATGGAAATAAATGTATCCATATTGCAGCGAACATTCAAAAAATTTCTATAGATATCGAAGCGCCATGAAAGATTAGTAATCAGCGATACAGAACGGAGGCGGATGTGACGCAATCCCGGAAATATGACGTATTTTGTTCTGGAATGTTCGTAACCGCTCGCGAACACTCGACTTTATTATATAAGCAAATTGGATTGCATTATACGACAATTTCAACTTCGATATTTTTTAGGTTATAAATTGTAAGTGATAAATAATAATTACCGTTATAAATTAATTCGTCTTAAGACAGTTATAAATTTATTGTTAATTAGTTGTAATAAATATCGCATATAATTAAATTTACGTTACAACTTACACTGGTGTTACATGGAAACTAAAATAATAAAAATAAAATAGCTAACATTGAATCTGGTCAAAAACAAATACGAGGTATGATTCAAGGAGAGACAGAGTGCCCAAAATGAGATACAAAGTGTCCAAGACAAAATTCATACGGTAAACAATGAAATGAAAGCTGAAATTGATGAAGTCCGAAAACGATTTATGGTATTGACTGAAGCACACGAAAGAAGTGATTTCTCGTCTGTGATAATACAAGATCTACTGGTTGTTCCACAATCATCCCGCAAAGAAGCCGCCGAAACGTGTGAGAGTCTTGGTACGACCAAAGTTAAGCCATCGACATTCGATGGAAAATCGCCGTGGTCCACCTACTTGAGATACAAAATAAGTGGACGGTGGAAGAGGCAACTTTCCTTATGTTTGTTAGATGCGTTGGATGTTTTGCGTACGATTCCAGAATACCAGCAAAAGGACTTCGAGCGAATTGTATCACGGCTGGAAGCTCAACAAGCTTTGACACTTGTGCGACATGAAAAATTCTAAAAAATCTTTGGTGCATGGCCTGGAGTTTGACGCTGCAAAGAAAACGTCTGGTGGTAATTATGGTGGCGTGCACACGATTGCCATAGAAGAAAAGAACGCAAATATCGAAGAACTAGTGAAAATATTGGAGCAGTTGAAGCAGAAACAGACAAAACGACGAGGGCTGCGATGCTGGGGCTGTGGTAAAAATGGATGTACTAGATGACGCCACACTGCAGCGACCAATAATCATGAAAACTAGAAAGGGTCGATGGTGGCAAGCATCACCTTGCCTAAGTTTTGCCCCGGAGACTGGTATTCTAGTCGCTCCTGTGCTCGACTACCCAAGAAGAGAAGGGGGCTTCGTGTTAGATACGGACGCCAGCGATGTTGGAATGCGTGCCAGGTGGTTGGAAAAACTGCAAGAGTACGATTTCATAACAGAACACCGCGCGGGACAAAACCAGCGGATAAGTAGGAAAGAAGAAGGCACCAATGAGGTAACATAATGTGGACTGTCCATTTGAAAGAATATCTATGGATATCGCAGGCCCCTCCCAGATAGAGCTTCTAGAAACGAACACATCTTAGTGGCCATGGACTATTTCAATAAATGGACAGAAGCATATTCTCTACCAAATCAAGAAGCGACATCTATGGCAAACCTCAGACGTTCTGGTAAAAGAACTTTTTAGCAGATTTAGAGTACCCCTGAAACTACACTCTGACAAGAGACGAAACTCGCTTTTCCAAAGCTTGGGCATTCGCAAGACCAGGAACCACTGCTTTACACCCACAGTGAGACGAAATGGTCTTTATGGCGAAACCGTTCTGCGATGCAGGTAACTCCAGGACAGACTTCAGCTTCCATGTTGATTGGCCGGGAACTCCGGTTGCCGTGCGATTTGCAGTTTGCTACAAGACCCGGCCAGGAAGAATCTGTGGGTAACGACGACGTAGAAAACCTGTGACAGAAATTTGGTGCCATCCATGACAGAGTTCGCGATAATATGCAGTTACCCCGCGACGGAATGAAAGTGCAGTACGACGTGAAGGCCCAAGCGGGTGGTTATCATCAACCTGGAGATATGGTTTGGTGGCATCGTCTCCAGAGGAGTCATGGGCTATTTCTGAAGGTACAAAGAACTTGGGAAGAACCATATATACTCGTGAAGATAAAGATTTAGTATATCGGATACGAAAACTACCACAAGGAAGACCAGTGGTGGTTCACATAAACCGGTTGGCTCCATACGCGGGCCAGTATGAGCCCGAGGAACAGGAAGCAGCGAATGTGATGCAAGTGAAACCACGACAATCCACTTCCGCGGAATTTATGGCACATTACTCTGCAATGCAAAGGGCACGCTTTGGTGTTGTCCGTGAGGAAATCTAAGTTTTGACGCACCAGCGGAATACGCCTTGGCTCACTGCGTTGCAAGGACGGCAAGATGTCCGGAGGTAATGTCGTACAATTCAAGTTCCGGTTTGGGCGCGTAAGAGAAATCTAACTGCAACGTCCCGGGGTGGGTAAAGACTGGTCTTGTGATAAACCCAGTTACGAAGATTTTTGGAATGCGCTACAGCACCAATTCGTAATGTTACAAAACTGGCGATTCCTAAGATCGGATGTGGTCTTGCTAGGTTGAAACTTGAAATCCCACCTTAAGAACGACTGGTACAGTTAAAACACGTTCATATTACTCGACTTTATTACGACTTTTTTAAATACAACTACGATATTTTCTTTGTATTGCTAAGTTATATTTACTGGAATTCTAAGTGGAGGTCTTAAGACTCCATTCAGGTTGGGATCAATTAGAACTGTGTGTTTTGACTTCAAAATTAGGCCCAATATAGGAATAATTACGAATTAGTTCAAATCGAACTGTTGAATTTCGAAACTGACGTTAAAATTTCAGTTATTATCCAATTTAAGACAGGGGCTTTAACTTCATGTTGTAATTGAGACTTTCAACCGATAATCCAGTCAAATTAGCTCTAAAAAAGTCAGTCACTCAACGATACCAAGTGTCCACTGAAGTCCGCTGAATCGGAAAATCATTGCCCCCCTGGTCGGAAACTCCTGGAAGATATTGTTACTATGATTTGCGGATTCTTTTTACACAGAATATTCTTGGTTTTGTTCAGTGAAGTGACAACATCCAGCCCAAACCGTAATTACTACACTTACATTTTACAATACTGTCTAATTAGTTAGTATCGTATGTGTCTAGGTATGGGTGGCACTCCCTAGGTACAGACGTGACCTAACTGCCGGGACCGCCAGCATTACATGACCTCCGGTAGTTAGGAGATGTTCTGTACCACTAAAAATTGGCAAGTTATGGGATTCGAACTCACGACCTGTGAGGCTAGAGTTCGAGTCTTAAACCGTTACGCCAAACGGAAGTGTAATGATCGGGTTGGTATTTTAACAAGGGGAGTAGCTAATAAAATGGGCGCTAATTGTTGGTCACAACTCATTAATAAGAAACAAAAAATGTACTGTAAACTCACCTTTCATTAGAAATGCCCCTCTGTAATCTAAGCGTGCGGTTATAAGGGGTGGCATGGCAGCATCACTCTGAGTGGCTGTTTTTCGCGCCCGAGGGTCATGAAATAAACATTGCGAGTGCTTATTCGCGACCATCGGCAATTTACTAGGTAACTCACCGGGGGGACGTTCTGCCTCGATCTGGCGCACGGACCTCCGAACACTTCGATCGGCGATTGGGGTTGAATGTGTCGTTGGAGATGATATCCCTAAGGGTTAAGATGGAGGTCATACCTATTTGGGAAAGGGTTACGCTGCACGCACGTGTATTATTTAGGGTATACATCCTGTCTCGGCTCTCTGTGACTAGGACCCTCGGCCAATAGATCAACAATCGTCGATCTTTGTCTCTCATTGCCCTCCCTGTAATACCCTCAGGAAGAGATCACCCCTTAACTGTTTGTGTTAGGCAATGAGGCTTTCGATTTTTTGAATTAGATCGACATCGTGACCTATTCGAGCTACTAGAGACCGTAAAGAGGCTCATGCCCATTAAGCACTTTCGTGGCCTATAGCAATATAACCGGATATCTGCTAGGGGTTGTACAATAGCCCAACTACAAAGCACGGTCACCACGATGGGCTGCACAATTCACTCACCACCTACATATCGTTATACACCAAATTCACTAATACTTCTGATACTCTACTTAGCAGCCCATACGATCGTGACCAGAGCGCGTACGCAATTTAACTCCCTTAGGACGATTCCTTAAGACCCTTACATTTATCAAATAGGTGTTGCGTTAACATTTGAATTTTTCATTATTAAGGACCACCACAAAATACCGTTTTTACACAAGGAATCATTTCACTGTACGTTCATTTGACTTTTAGCTTCTGATATAAACTTTGAAATTGCAGTTCCATATTTATCTTAGATTAAGTTATAATTTGAGTTTCTATTTTTGTTACAAATTCTATTTTTTTAGAAAATGGATTATCGTTTGACATCTCCTTCGAGAATGAAGACGAGAGTATTATTAGAAAGCACCCGCCAAAGAGATTTCAGAAATTAGAAGACGATCAAATAAGTTCTCCCTTGTCCATAGACCGATTGCAAGAGAAATTAGACGAAGCAGAAGTTAGAAGACAGCAGGTACTTTTTAATACTTATTTGTAACGTTCCATATTTTATACCAATGTCTAAAGAATAAAAACGTTTGAATTAATTACGTTTCTTTACTTTCGCACATTCATTCAGATTACTGTTTTAGATTCTTCAAAATCGAATTCAGTCGGCACAATTAAGGAAGGTGCTGAAAAAACCTTTAACGGTTGACTCCATTCAAGAAGACGAAATTGATTATCTCCAAGTTCCCGATGATAAACCTAATACTCCTTTTCTTAAAAATCCACCAGGAGATCAACCTAATACCGTTATAGTAACTACTTAAAACTATGTATGAGTAATATTATTTAACTGTACAAGCAAAATCCCTATTTACTGTCAAACCTAAAAACCTCTCATAGCTTAAAGGTCTGATTTGACGTAAGACAAGTTTGACTTGTTTTATAATCAATTTCATAACACTCTTTTGAGTTTGAGAACATACATGCTGGTTTTAATTTTTTTTAAATTAACCATGATAAAATTTATGAACTTCCTGTTTGCAAACTTGTTGATGTTATTGTCCCTGAGACCTTTAAGTTGCTTTACTTTTGATCCTTTGAAGGTCCGTTAAATTTGCTGAACTCAAATTTATCGGACAATATTAACTGACGCTGTGTGTGTATTTTAAGAGAATTACTATTTCAAATTTTTGTACTCTCTCTCAAAACTCAACTAATAAAATCAAGAATTATATTACAAAATAGTTTACGTATTCAGAACCGACCCTTACAATACAGAAGAATCAATCTTTACTGTTGGCTGTATGATATTCTTTCATGAAATATAGGAAGGGTACCTACAAGGAAAGAGCATACGTACACAAGTCGCTTTTTAACACATCCAAAGCTTCATGCAGAAAGACTTTCACGTACCTATTCTTTAATAAACAAATTTTTAAAACAATTTTGTTTTATTGCTAGTATTAAAAAAAATAAAAAAATAATTCTTCATCTTTTCTCATTTTTTTTGTAACCTCGTATCTTGAAAAGTATTATTCTGATCGCAAAAGTATAATAGGGTTTTCTATTCAGTTTTGTCTCAGAATTAAGCCCCCTTTGTCGGTGGGCGCGAATTTCGTAGCACCATGTATATCCAATTTCTAGAAAAATCACGTATGCCTTATTTTTTACTGCATGGGCCTCGTTTCTGTATTTGTCGGTCTTCTCGTCCATCCGTATTCTTTTGAGTCTTTTTTTAAATTATCTGGCATTTTAGCGCATCATTTTTCGTTTTAAATAAACTATCGATTTACGTTTTTAAATGAATGCTTTATAATGTTGGTTAACATTTAGGGAGTTCGGGAGGAGATAAGAATGTCCTAGAACATCCGGACCACCATTTCTACGAAATCTTATGAACTATAATTTCACTTGGCATCACCGTGTTTTTTTAATTTCCTTACTCCAAACCTTCGTAACGCTTATTTAAGTATTCTTTTTTTACAACTGTGACTTTAATGCAGTTTAGATTTTACCTTTTTTTAGTGCTGTGTTCAGTCAGTTCACTGTACCAAGGATTGTTGTTAATTCAATTTTTGTGTTATGTACCCGGTACCGTATAACGGGAGTTACAATATTATTGATAAAGAGTTCAGATTCGCGGTTCTAATTATAAAATCCTTTTTGAAATTTTCTTCTTCTTCCTTCGTGGTTAGTACGTACGTTTGGACCTACCTTTCATAAATTTACTTCCATATACATATAACTCGAATTAACCGTATATAAATTGATACCTTGCCGTTCTTAAAATCGTCAATGTAATTATTTATTTTATAGCATATGTTAAATTGACATTTTAATAGGTTTGAATGAGTAGGCATTTAACCGGAAGGATAGATAAAGTGAAACAGATGACTGTGAATTCAAATGACATCTGTCATTCTTATTTCAGATGCACGATATAAAATGACGTTCAGAACATATGATAATTCCGTTTCTATGGAAACGATCGCGACGACAGAACTTAAGCTTGTTATTTTTTACGTCTTTAAATTAAATTCAGAATTATCAGAAGCTTTACAATGATTTATATGGATTCTGCTATAAAATAAAGTTTTGTATTATACACTACGATAAAGGGAAACCGACCATCTCGTGAATTAACATCTTTCACTCAATGGTTAAAATATCCCTTTATCGTCTTGTATAATAAATATTATTCTCGGTGAGTGGGAATTCAGGTGCTCGGTATCTACATTTTGCAGATCAGGTTTGTGGTTAACTATCTCCGGTTTCACTATCGGTATCTTATTTGTGGTAAGTACTATCGTGTTATTCAGTAACTTTTATTTATAAACTGCTTAAACAATTCTACACTCCATCGGATTCCTTTGTGTGGAATAAGTTCAATCCGAAGGAACTCCGCACATCATAGAGTAGGATGAACGTTCTTCACCTCTTCCACAACTTGCAGGAACATGTGAAGCTGTGTCTCCATGTTGCGTCCAGCATTTCCAACGCATACCGCACAGTGATTTAATTGATTCACTTTAATTGTTATTTGTATTTTGATTTGTTTAATATTGGCCAGTTCCTTCGATGTTTAAACTCGTTTAGTTTGATTCGCGACTTCAATTCTTTGTGTATGAATCTGCCTTTTTTTTAAATGTTTTTAACTGTTTCGTTCGTGCAGAGGTAAATGCTGGAGTGTTAAAATTACTTAGCGGCATTAATCTCGAAATACAAATTCAGTCTAAGGTTACCGTATCCAAGACCTCCTGATACCTTCTGGATGGGAGAAGGTTCCGCTAATTAGCCAAGTATTTTATTTACTTTATGTAGTAATTTTTCACATATGGGAAAGGAGTGAAGTTGCTTTTAAATCTATTTGAGTTGCCTACTTCTGAACATATCCAATTTTGTATTAGATTAAAGTCAGGTTTAAATTAAAGGGTAACTTCCTCGGATTGCTAATTTTGGTATATTGCAGATATGGCCCCAGATTTTTCACCTATATTTGCCCTCCGTGAACAATGATTCAGAATTTTCTTCCGACTGTAATTGTAAACAATAAAAAAAGCAGGTGCATGGGCCTTCGTAAATAAAAACTTAAAATAAATAATTAATAGAAGCATACCACTGAAGGAGTTCGGGAAATTTTCAGTTTGTTTTATAAACGAATTAAATTTTTTGTACATTTTTGCCGGGGCCCGTCCTCATCGCGTACCTTTGAGGCATTGTAGTTACGCCACTGCTTAGTGTGCTTCTTACCATATTTGATACCAAACCTTCTCATACAAAGCGTAAGGCTTTATCTGTTTAATAGCGAAATTAAGGAAATGCTTTCATATTATGCTTCAAGCGCATTTCACTAGGCAGCAGTATAGATCTTTAATCAAACGTTATAATACCTTTACTTTGATGTAAATAACTATTACGAAGTATATATAAATTTGTACTCCCCGGAGGTTTGACTGTGTCGGGAGGGTTGGTACGGGTTTTGATGGCAACTATTTAGGATAGTTGAGTATATACCTAACCTATTGTTATTGATGCCGTTTAGATGGAAATCCAAAGGTCGGACGAAGTACCACCTATTCTCCAGACGATTTAAAAAGCACAGTGCTTGAGGTAGTGAATGAAAATAAAGTACTTAGGACTACTACCAAAAAGAACAATGCTGACAAAATATGACACTAAAAAACATATACCTAGGTATCTTAAAATACCAGACGGATAAACCCAAATTTTTCACTTCACACATTTTTTCATCTCACGAAGAATCGCTTTTAGTAGAATATTTGCTCAGGTCTGCAAACCTGTACTATGGCCTAAGCAATCAAAGAAGTCTGGCAAGAAAACAGAGCGACTGCGTTCAATTGACATAATCTGCAAGAATTTTCCAAAGATTTGGAACATTGGAAATTTAATCAGAACATGGTACACTAGTCACATTTTGTTGTGCCATAAATGCACTGGGAAAATCTGTGCCAGCATTTTTTATATTTCCTCGTGTGACGCATGAAAGCGGTCGGAAGACTACTGATAATTTCATAAATTATCTATGATCACTTCATAAAACACACAAAATTGACGTATTACAACGATAGCTATATTTCGATGGCGATGTCGCTTACATCCACTGCAATTCGCTATTTTCAGGGTCTCGTTCTTGAGAACAGTGGATCTAAAATGGTGCCATTCAGCCTGTGCAGATGTCAACCAGGAAATAAAAACGTTTTCTTGTGAATTATTACTTATTGATAATAAAAGATTGCAGTCCGGATTGTTTTATACGTATCAAACCTCCCTTCAAAGTTAACCTTTAATTTTCAGTAATTTAATATTGCCAAATTTCTCAGCAAGGTCTTCAAATTGAGTCTTTAAATTGAGAACAGATTAGCAAATGTTAACCGCAAATTGTTTATTAATACTTTTGCAAAACAAAACGTGTCAACCCTGTAGCGCGCTATAAAATATTGAGTCCCAATTTGAACGGTAAATTATCCACTGGACCTTTATCGACTAACGATCAAAAAATTTAAATATAAAAAATATGACGTAAAACCTAAAATCCTTTTCACGAGTTCGATGTAACAGGAAGAGAAACAACTTGGCTTAGGGGGACCACAATGGATAATAGATTCTGATAAATTAATACCTTATTGCTGCTTCCGTTTCAGTACTATTGTTTAGTGCAGATTTCCTTTTCTGCACCCATTTATTAGCAAATTATAGAAGTTTTAAACAATTATTTTTTATTCACTATCGACATTCGCAGTCAGTTTATTGGAATCATGTGGAATGTTATCCGTGGATAAGATAATGCGGGAAAAATGACTATTTCTAATACCTTTTCAACACTTTGTATCATTGGATTATTGGAAATTTGTTCGGAATATAATGGTCTATTTTCCTATCTACAATTTTTTGCTTACTGTTCGTTGCTTACTCTTCTCCATTTAAAAATTTACTAATCCAATTTTATTTCTGTTCTTTAGCCCCACGAGTTTATTATTATTTACTATTATAGTTTATTATTATTATTTTATTATTAAGCATATTAACTTCGTGTTGATTCATACATTACTATAAAATGTGCATCTAGTATTAATGTAAGTTGTTAACACCTAATTGTAACTATGTAGCTAATATCACATTTGAAATCCTGTTAACGCTGCTATTATACAATCATCGAGATACCTATTTCTTTGTTGTTGTGATTCCTTATTATTGTTTTCTTCACTAACATGAGGCCAAATTTAGAATTCGAATTTATTTAAATTATTAATGTCTGCATCTACTTTCCCAACTGTTTGGATCTCGGGATTATAGCATATCGTGCCTTGTAGATGATCCGGTATTGCATGTTTATGATTGTTATTATTTGTGGGGTTATCAATTTGTATGCCATTGGCACACCTCGTTAGATTCCGCATCAGCCGGCCAATTTTAGTTTTATTTGTTTTATCTTTGACCATTTTATTTACTTATATGTTAGTGCCGTTTCCTACCGATTACTGTTTTACCGGTGTTTAGTTTATTTATGCATTTGTAAAATTTAGATATTTAGTTACGAAAAGATCTATTCACATCAGTGGGACTTTTTTTGGTTCGTAGTTAGCCAAGATTTTTTTCTTACGTAATAGTCTAAGATTTATCCAATCTTGTGGTGTTCATTACATTTACTGGCTTGGGTTTGTATAACTGTGGCGCAAATCGTATACCTAATCAAGTTCAGGAACTTTTCGTATCATCCCATTCTCAATAGGCAAACCATATACTTCGCTGCTGTTATAGAAAGAGGTAAATGAAGGCTTTTAATAGGTGCTTATCAAGTGGCTTACCTGTGGTGAATAAAGAAATATAGATCTTGTTAGGAATTGACATAGAAGTATATTTAAGATTTAGAAAGTGTTATAGCAGACTAGAAGAATAAATTGATTAAATATTTTTTGCACAATTTTTTAAGTCGGGCATTTTCGGAGTAAAGTATACATTATATTTCAATATGAAATGCAAGAAGAATTTGCCGGTCTCCGTAAGCGCCCGAGTTTTTTTCTCACTTAACCTCTAAAAACATACAAACATCCAGTAAAATGCAAATATTATTACTATTTAAACCGAACTTTATTATTTCATTATTTTATACATTTCATTAACATTATTTTATAATACCCGTAACTTGTCAGTTGATTTAATGGGATTTTTAATAAAATTTATTTAATACATCAGTATATAAAACAACATTTTATTTATTAACTTCATTTACAAACCACTATCTTATAGTGGGAACGGTAAATGTTACAAAAGTCTTTCTGTTTTTATTCTTATTAAATTGTACCTAATGTGCGCTTTATAGTTGTTACATCGAGTCTCAGTTTTAATAAATCGGATAAAGAAAAAAAGATCCAGTTAATCGCCTCTATAATAGAGATAGATGCAAGTATACCGCTAAACAAAATTACGCACATCAAATTCATTTTATTTTACTGTAATTCACACAATTTTCTAAGGGGCCGGATTAAATTAACGCGAATCAATTTTGCGAAACTTCTGAAATGGTTCACATTAAAGTTGTAAACATTACCATGCTTAGGACTCCACTGTGAAATATACTTAAATAACACACAATTACAAGTAATGATTCCCATACACCTCAATTATAAGATTAGTTTTAAAACTATTCGTTCATTCGGTTTAGCAGTGCTCGTAAAATTAAGGCAAATAGGCCTCCCAGATGATGTACAAATGATACGGTCGGTGTATGGGAATAATTAAAGATGAATACAATTTAGCACGAATCCATGGTATATAAAATAGGAAGTGAGAGCATAATTCCTTCTTTCATATGTATATCTTTGTTGTAGTTCAATTAGAAAAATGTAAGTAAATATTTCTGCCCAATTTATATAAGAAGGAAGTATGTTGTAGTGACGTGTAGGAGCGAAACATCGAGATGAAGATTGTCAAATTACATTTTCCCACTGCCTGTTCGTTATTTGTAAGATTTACTACGCAAATGTATTTTTCTGCTTAATTTACCGTACGTTTAAAGAAGCTAATGAAATGTTTCACTCACAGTACGGAAAGTTAACGTTTAAAATTGGGATGCCTCACGAATAATAAACGACAATTTATTATTTTACCGAAAAAGAAATTTTAAAGCGAAATGTTGAAAATAAAATATGCGTCTATGCAAAATCCTTAGGATTTGTTTAATCATCTCAGCATATACATAAATGTGTATTACAACATACACATTTCCAAAGGAACGTCATCGTTAATGACCCGTACCGTTCTGAGTGGGTATTTACAAATGGTATAGCGTGGTAAATATTACAATATTGAATAAATTCATTTAGCAATATCTCACGTTCACAATGAATAAATACAGTGGCGATGCCGTCAACCTCAAAAATTCCTATATTGGAAACAAATTATTGTTCTCATGGCCAATTATTGCTTCTAAACATAATCGCTAGACACCAAGGCGCTACGAAGCTCCGGATTGATCGAGGTAACAGTTAAATTACTCAATATACAATTGATCTTGTTTTATAGCACTATACTGTACAGTGAAGATGTTTGATTTATATAAACTGGAACACACTTTTCGTCCGTTTCTTTGTCCATTGCCATTTACAAGAATTGGGGATGTGGAAGACAACCTTGCACGTCAATATAGAGTTGGATGTCCAGAAATTGGTCTTGCCCTTACAAGAACATTAAATGAAACTAAATCTAACACACAGCCTCTATATTATGTATAAATATCTTTATTAACCTACTAGTTCTTTCACGCACGGTTTAGAACACGATTTGAGCGAAATACATTTACAAATATAAAAAACATTTAGACAGTGTCTTTGAACTACGGAGTTCGTTGGGATTTATTATTACATGCGTTGATATAATGAATGCGTTTCGAGAAATGTACGCATTTGAGTTTGTTCGAAAGTTTCAGTTGTAGAAACCACGGTTCATTGCGGCTCTGTTACGATTCTGCCATTTGCATTTAAGTATACGCAGGTATGTACGCCTGAAGCTAGCATTACAAAGAGCGTAACACATTGGGTTTATGGTTGAATTGATATAGCAAAGGAAATAGAAAAAGTCCCAGACCTGGGGAGGAATCCGCGCACTACTTGCAGTTACCGGTTTTAATAAAACGAGAATATTGTAAGGCGTCCACGTGATGATGAAAGTTAATAAAATAGCCGAAAGCGTTTTGGCCGCCTTTCTGTCGGCTTTCTTCTCCGTCGTACGTTTTTTCTTTTTCACTTGTTGTTTTGACGCGTTTGATAATAATGTCCTACCGGCTAATTGCTTTGGAATAATTTTCGCGTTTAACGGTATACGTATGTCGGGCATCGCCGAAGGCCTTCTATTTAAATGATTCGTCTGTACATTACTGAATGCGTAATTTGTGTCAGTATGGGACCTTATTGCAGGTCTCGGTACATCATCCGAAATCATCTTTATAGAAGGCGTTTCGGCCGACGTGGTGCCCTCCGTCGATTCTCCCGGAAGTCTGATTAGAATTGTATAAACACTATCGCTTGAAACTGATCGTCCCGTTAAACGATTCGCTGCCGGTAAACTTCTTGTGTCCCTAGGAGTTAGTCGCGTTGGTGTCAAACTTGTCTGAGCGAGCGCAAATTCTCGTTGCTGGGGCGATAATCCCATCGCGTAAGGATCTCTATAATTAAAAAGGTTACCAGTTCATAATTCCCCCATTAAAAAAATCTTACCTAATTACATTAAGTGAAGTGCAGCGCGAAACTGAACTTTGAAGGGGAGTCTCAAGTGACATAGGGGTGGCACAACCGGGCGCTTGTTCACTTGGGCTTTCCTCTTCGGTGTCGCTGTCCTCTCGGCCGGAATGCCACCACGCTACACACCACGCTCGTATCCTCCAGAACCAACTGAACCACCCGCCGCGTTTCTGAAACAAATTTCCACATAAATTACCAATTTGTGTGATGAACGATTGAAATTTGAAGCGCCTACAACCCCAAACGTATAATTTTGATTTACCAGAGCAAATTACGCACAATAAGTAAGAACTCCTATTTTCCTGCCGATATTCGACTTAATATAATACGAGGATTGCATTTCAAAATAAAACATCCTCGCTTTATTATACGACCGCTATCGATTCATTTCCATCGGAAATAAGATAAACTCAGAAATTACATTTCCTTCGTCAACGCAGTTTCACTTCAGCTAGAATGGTTAATTACCTACGATCCTTCTCACGTTGATGGGTTAGGTGTATTATTTAGTTTACAATTTCATATGATCTATTCTCCAGGGAAACTATAAGGGGAATGAACTACTTTAGTTCTTACTAACGAGGTTCATATAAACCAAATTTCTTATTTCTGAAGTAGATACAAACTAGTTCAGCTCAACTTAGCAGAAAGATACTTTTACTAAAATGTCACGAGAGCTTTAAAACGCCAAAAGGTATTATACGTGGTATTGTATTTACTCCTGTGGTGATTTTAAAATGCAGTCATTTTAGGTTTGTTCTTAGAGAAATTATTTGAGCCAAGATTACTGCCACTGTTTCAGAATCAATACTGAGGAAAGGCTACGTCGGATTGAGTTCATTTATTTGCGTTTCTTAGCTTTCTGATTGTATAAGTGAAAATTCAGGAAAATAGAATTTCATCAAATGTAATGGTGCGATAGTTTAATATCAGACTTCTTTGTATTCTGTTGTTTGATAACATACACTTGCGAAGAAACACCTGTCATTTATCTTCTGTTTAATCTATTTGCTGCTAGAGGCGTCGATTCGTTTTTGAACGGCAATCATACGGATATGGTGTATGTTCTAACCTCTAATCTTTCTAGCACGAAATTTTAGCGCGCCGTGATTTGTCGTTATCGATGGTTAACATTCATTTCCCTCTTTCGTTCGTCAGCTGTGACAGAATGCACTTGATGTTTAATCAAACAGCGAACCACATGGGATTTTAATTGCCGTCACCCGTTATTAAAATTTTTGCGATTAAATTCGGTTAATTGGGGGATTCCGCATCATTTGTGAATGGAATTGCACCCCTTGACTCCAGTAGGAGGATATAGTTGCGTTATTCTTCTTCATTGTAAGTACGCCATTTACATTTAATATGCTTGATGGTAGTCGTATATCTTCTTCAGGTTCCGGCTTTTCCATCGAACATTGTTGCACGTTCATCTATAATTAGCCATCTTATTTAAAGAGGTTTCCTTTGATTTTTCTAGGGTTTTTAATTTGTGGTAACGTTGGCTTAAATTTACCATTTACCTGCGAGTACCAACACCTGTGGAAAATGCTTTCCCACACCTGATAAGAAGCCGCCATTTTGTAACTTAGGTTATCCGGATGATACGATCCTCAACAAGGAAACAATTTCTGTAACCTTTACCGTAGCAATTCATAATTATTTTTATCGCTTTCAATTAATTTGTTACCTTCAGTACGTATTCATTATCTTTGTAAACTCTGTTAAGTTATGATCGACTTTTGCACGTTATAGTAGCCCGCCACTTCCTTCTGGAAAGGTTGGTCGAAAAAATGTCATGCTCCTGAGCTTACTACAAGTAAGGCGAGGCCCTTCAGGCATTGATCAGTTTATTGCATTCCAAGCTTTGGGGCTTGGGAGTTTTCTTTTCTTGCAGATTTTATGGATTCGGGAATTGAGATCACTTCTCTGGATAACATCTTATTCAATCAAGGTAAGCGAGTTGCCTTTTTATGTTTTGCTTGTACCTTACCTATACGTGCGCATTTGTGTTCGAATCAATTTCTTTGTGGTAACTTGTATCAAAGAATAATTACTCTTTGCTTGTATTAAGATCAAGTATTCAATTTAACCGATCATTCTTGATTGGAGCTCTGTAAAACTGGTATTGGTCCATTGCAAAGTCAAGTTACTAAGATGTCTGTGTATAATTTTGACATTTGTATTGTACTGGATCCCCTCGTATCTATTCAATTTCATACGAGCGGCGGCGAGCTAGAAATTGAGTGACGCTCAACCTTGGTAAATGCACAACGAAGATTCCGAAGATCATTTTACCCATAACGAACGACCGCTGTAGAAGATTGTCAAGCTCTTATTTTGTGTTTTACCCTAAGGTAGTGGCGGGTTTGAGATAACGCAGCGCCTACTCAACTACACGTTAAAACCACTTAGCGCTACCTAGTCCGGGTGTCCGTTGGTGACCCAAAAATCTACCTTATAACGTCCCACAATGTGAACTCTGCCTAACCAAAGAGTAACGTTACATACTCTTTGCCTTGGTGTAACCAAGTATTGCACCGACTTCATAAAAGAAAAATTGCTATTCATTGTCGGTAATTTCTAATTTAGAATTTGGTTTTGGCATCTCCTTCATTCTATCAAAATAGGGCACTTTCTCAATAAACTTACGTTATAGCTCTTATATGGCAGAGTTGTTTATTTTTTCAAGTTCTTGTTACTTCTAAACAAACCCGAATTTCCTTAATTTCTGAATGGACTTTTTTTATCAGAACACAATATTGTAAAAACTTGTTTAATTCACGCATCCTCCATATACAAATGTTACCCATCCAATCAAGTAATCAAATGTTTGGCAGGCAAAAAGTAGACTTGTATTCCTCAAAAGCGACAAAATGAACTTGCAAACATCTGATATTTCTTCCCTACTCCATCAATACAAATAAGGCAAGCGCCTCGAGATGTAATCTTGGTGCTCCGGCAATAATACTGGACTTGTCGACGTTGATATATAATGTAAATTAATGTATCGTATATGTTACCTAGGAAACCTTCAACAGACTTAATGTTCAGCGAGCAATGTGTTTAATCCTTAGACTATGAAAGAGAGGGGACCCGTAATAGAGAGCGCGCGCGTGAAGCAAATTGCGATCATACTGCCACCACCAGTGGCGCCCGCTCGGGTATTACATTAGGAAATTACAATTTATTTATACTGCCATCATGGTATGATTAACCTGTGCGTACAGTTGTCGGACATAATATTAGGTTCTTATCTGAATAGAGACAAAAAACGCGATAAACGTAAACATACGACTCGAGTTTGATCGTTTCAGAAACTGGGTTCGCGATATAAGCGCAATATTATTGAAAGTAAAGGGTTTTTCCGAGGGTTTTTCATTAAGAGCGCTCGAACTTTGAAATGAAATAAAACAACCTGTTTAAGTGATATTACCACAAGTTTTATAATATTTTAAAGGATATTCGATGACATTATTTATGAAAAATAATTTCAGTGAAGTGGCCCCCGCGACTCCGCTGTGGACGTTGCATTGTGGTGGACCAATTTTGGACATGTTCGCTTAAACTGGGCTGAATTTCACGAAGAAAGCGAGTTGTACTGGTCTTTAAGGCAGCAATTGACTGTGGTTGGTCTGCATAGACTAGGGAACTGAAAACCCAAGTCTCGGCGCAAAATCCGCCAAGTTAACGTCCCAGAAAGACCCATCTCTTGCGCACTCTGCAGAATGGGCTGCCTGGGGTTTTCTCGCACACTATTCCGAACGGCAATAATATTCTCCAACGATCTTGCGTTTCTTTGACGTACAGGAACTGCTTCATCAATCACTGACCCCGTTGTCTCAAATTTTTTATTAAACAACGGATTGTGGACTCTGCAGGATGTCCATGAAAGCCATAAATTGGACGCACCGCACGGAACGTTAGGCGAACGGAGCCCTGATTTCGATAATCAATTGTAACCATTTCTACGCAGCGTTTTTAAAATACTAATACACAACCTCACTCTTTCGTACATTAATTTGTCATTCCTGACCACTACTTATCGTTAAAAAAATGTATTCATTTCACTTCATAAATGACGCTCGAAGATGACCAGTTAGGTCGAAATCGATAGCCGCATAAGACAAATACAAAACGTGTCTAAAAAGAATTTCTTTAAACCCCTTCCTCAGTTTCTTGTATTTAAGTAATAAGCTGTTGATACTATAGCAAACCGTTGACGATGACGACTGTGATAATATTGAATTGAGATGTCTTCTCCCCTAACGGGTTTAATCATAACGATCTTCCTTCAGGATATCTTGTGTTTATCGAATGTGGCTGCGATCGATGTGTATTGCTTCGAACATCGATCGATGACCTCTCTCTTTTGAAGACCAAATCCTATGTCGTACTACATGTAAGTACAAAGGCAACATACACTGTAGTTAAACTACTCCATACAAAGTAATCAGTCGCCTAAGGGTTAGGCATCCAAACATGTACATATCTGTTACGTCATGTAACTAGATAGTCACGCCGTCACTGGAATATCGCTTGCAGGTTATATCACTTGCTTACTGTAATCGAGAAATTATCAATGAAAAGAAGTATAAAGCAGTATTTTATTGATGCACAAAAATATAGGACAATTGTAAGATTATGAAAATGAAGACCTTAAAAGTGTTTTATTAACTACCATGAAGATTTAATTAAATTTAGTCAAACCAGACAACGTGCCGTTTTTTATCTTGCCTATTAAATGATATTCCTGCTGGACAACGACCACTGCAACTTTTACAGTTGTACGCAGAACAATTCACCACGTTTATATCACACAGTTTTGCACACACAAACATTATCAATAATGAAGAAATGTCAAAAAATTCACACTGCCACCGCGCTTTGAGTGCCACCGAAAATATGGCGGTCGTCTCGAAATTCGCGTCAAAGTCACGCATGCCGTGGATGCGGTATTACGGGTCCCCTCTCTTTCCTTGTCTAAGGTTTAATCATATGTATCGGGTGATCAAAAAGAACTGCAGACAGTTTAAATTGGGCGCTTTAAGTTTTTAATGTTTTTTACTTAAGGAATTGGCAAACATGTTTAGAAGGTAGTTTATTTATGTATTAGTGATTAAATTGATCCACCACTGCTTTTACATAAATGACATTCGGTATGTTACCA